TTTCACAAAAAACTATAGCGATACTGTCTGTCATGTCTCATTAATAAATATTATTAACCTTGCAAAAAAATATACTTCAAACTTTCAACATGGTTAATAAATTGCATACTTTTACAATGATGAATGGTACAAGAGCTTGTGCTTGAGATTTGTAATGAAAACCAAGATGTTAATGTAAAGTTCATTTATAGAAATAAATTAAATTCAAAATGGAGTAATGATGCACTCTCAAATATATGTTGGGTTCCATTTGACAAAATAATATGGCAAATAAGTTCTCCATCCATTAAAAATAGAAGTGCTTGTAACTACAAGCATGTTAACAATTATTATGACAGTATTATGGGTTATGTAAATAGATAAAGAAACTAGTGTACTTGTGTTTCATATGTATATACACTTCTTCTTTCAGCATTTTTTTTTCTTTTTTTCTTTTTTTGAAACAAAATGAAACTTGCACTATTAGGTATCCTTTTAAACTAAAAAAGCATTATACTCAAAAACCTTAAACTATATCATAAGATAGAGTATAGGTTTATAAAATATTTTTGGTGATATATATAAAACCTCACCAGTAAAAAGTTTCATAACATACTTCAAATGTTGATGCTAGTTTCTATGCGTGCAAAGTTTATGTAATTTGTTAAATTTTTCAAAAAATATGATATTTTATTAGGCTGCTGAAAGTGTTAAACTAACTTTTAACTCATAATTTTAATTTGTTCCACAAGTGGTTGCTCTAAATACATAAAAGTAGAAAAAAATTGGTACTGCCTGTCTATAGATATTGAACTATAGCGTGTAAATATTTTCCGAAATCTTTCTATTATTGTGTTTTATAGCAACTTTATAGTACAATAACTCATCAATTCCTTGAAACTAATCGAAAACGTCTACGAAATTGCATTTTTTTGGTTACAAACCAATCATATACAAAATTTCAAGTGATCACTGTTTTTATTTTTTAATTAATGCTCTGTCAAAAACCAAAAAAATCTACAGTATGCTCTAAGTACTTAAATTTTTCTGATTTTGGTCAATATTAAATCAATCATATATTTTAAACGGTTTCGTCAATCAAGCTGAAATTTTGAAGTTTGTATTTTTTTTATAAACACTGTAGATGGTCGAAATTTGAAGCAAATTTGAGATAATACCCTGGGGATCATTAGGTGATTTGATATGGAATAACCCATATATTTTTTTCCTTTTTGAGCCAACTCTCATGTGTTGGTGGAAAGTCACCAAAGCATATGTTGAAGTCTTACTTGGGAGGCATTTTTTGTATTTCTTTATTTATATTTTTATTTTTTACATTTATATTTAGTACATTAGAGGTATTATTAACAATTGCAAAGATTTTATTAATTATTATTTTAATATTACATATGAATATTTATATAACGCAATATTAAAATACAAATGTCTATACAATTGATGTAAACATATAAAAATTAAAAAAAAAATTATTTTTTACTTAGGAATAATTTAAACATATATAACAAAAGTATATCTTTTGAAAATAGTTTTATTTATTTATATTATATTATAAAAGTTCATTTCCTTAAAATTATAACAATCTGATTTGAATTTAAAACATACAGGTTATGAAGATTTATTATATTATAAAAATTTAAAAACTTTAAACTTTTATAATATAATAAATGTTCATAACCTGTATGTTTTTGATATCAAAAGTGTTAAATATAGTATTATTATTATTATATGAATATTATATTTATAAGTACACAAATTTATAAAGTTTTTTTTTTGAGCCCCATTCACCATAATTTTGATGTTTTTGAAATTGGTTTTATTTTATCTTTAACTAAACTCTCTTCAAAAAAAACTAATTTAAGTAATTCTTTTTTACTCTGATAAATGTCCTGATTTAATGGTTGCCCTTGTTCAATGACCAGTTAAACATTTAGTTGCACATTTTTTATCAAATAATTTGCTTGACTTAATGCGGCAACATAGATATAGGAACTAAATGTTACTAAAAACATCTAATCATATGAATGCTGAATTGATTATGCATTGATTCTTTTGATTTGGTTTGAGTGGCTGTATTGTTGAGGCTGCGTATTATTATGGCCCAACATTCGCAATATACAATGTACGTAACCTTTTTCCTTTGTTATAATATTTTGAGTTACCTTTTGTTGATATGTATGCCTTTTTATTTAAAAATTGTTGAGTCTGAAATAATTAGTTTTCGGTAAAAAGATGTCATTTACTCAATTTGTCAAGCGTTTAAGAGAAATATAATCAGCTCCTATTGGAAGAAAAAACACCCAACAAAGTAATGTTAATCAGAGCTATTTATTTAAACATTATTTAGTTTTTCACTTTGTGAAAATGTTTCGTTTTGGCTTATTTATTTTTCCATGCAATTAAAGTTATATATAAATTTATATAAGTATCGTGTCTTTGCCTGAATAAACCCTGTAAAAAAATTCACAGAAATTTGAACTCAACACAAAGATATTTGTTTTAAGGGTAAAACAAGAAATATTTTTTTTCCGTTATGTCGCGAGTGTGTGTTTTGAATAAATATTATTTATTTGTTCAATTACAAATAAATTTGGCTTGGGGGAATGGGCATTTTCATTAGTTTTGCAGTTAATTAAGGAACTATGTTTTCCATTGTGTTGAAAAACAATTTGTAGTAAATAATCTTTTAAAAGCAGATAAACTCAGATGAGTCAAATAGAAAGTTAGTCTAATTTCTGTTATGTGCATTATTTCAATTTGTTCATTGCAAATATTTTTTATTATGTTCTTGAAAATGCTTATACTTGGATTTGTTTGTAAATTTATATTTCTTCATATATTTATATTTAATGATATGGTTGGAATTTAGGAAGAAAGAAAAATCTAACAAGTTTTACTCTAAATTATTGCAAATAATTTTAAAACTTTGAAATAGAAGTATTGCAAAGTTAATTTTTCAATTTTTTAATTTCCGTACTCTATTAATTGCCTGAACTAATATGATTACCATCTATAAACTTAATAAATAAAATGAAAAAAAAAAAAAAAATCAGTGCGATGTTATATAGTATCACAGTGCAATGTTATATATTACTATATTATTCTTTGCAGTTTATAAATAATATCCTAAAAATAATAGAAAAACATTGGATAAAGTTTTTCTTACATCCTTTGGCCAACAATGTCAGAATAACGTTAGCCTATGTTTTATTACTGCCATTATTCAACGTCTAAACAAGGTTAGAAAAGACATGCCTCAACGTCATTTAGATTTATTACGTTATTTATTACGTTAGGAAATGTTTTTATAACCCCATTTTGTCTTCAATTCAACGTTGCTCTGACGCCTTCCGACATCATTTAGCTTAATTGTAACATTGTTACAACATCTTTTTACATTATTGCAATAACATTAGTAAAATGAAACTTTATCTTTCTTTCATTTATAACATCATAACGTATTTTCAATGATACGAACGACGTTAAAATAACATTGTTCCAACATAATTTTTATTGATGCGGTACCAGAATCTCCTTTTTTGTCAATAATTTTTAAGTCACTGCAAATGAAGAAGTTAATCAATTGTTGACTTGCATGAAAAAGTTCTTGTAAGGTTTGGCTCTACAATCTTGCTGCTTGATGTTTGGTTTCATTAATTCGTTGTTTGATAGTCCCGTTTTTAATTGTACATTTACAAGAGTAGAGTAGTAGGTTTTGGAGTGCTTGAAAGTGGTTGGAACATCTTTTACATGAAACCGAAACGTATATATTTTATCTTTATTTTAAACTTTGCCCAGAAAGTTTGTTTAAAACTTTTAAATTATTTGTTTTTAAAATGATTAGAAGCTTGTTAAAAATATACATTCCAAAACTTATATTGCGTCTTTTTATAAAGATTTTTTTAGAACATATGCGTATAATTAGTTAAATGTAAATATTTACCTTAGGTAATTGTAAATGGAGGCCTTCCAGATGCTTTAGCAAGTCTAATATAAAGTCAAGTTTGATTAAGGAATAAGTCTTTATTGGAAATATTTCCAGATGCAATTTTTTAAGCTGCTCTGGCACTTCTTGCTGCTAAAGATCGAAAGCTTTTCCTGAACTTTATTTGAGAGCATTTGTAAGACAAAACTTTCCCGAGGGCAGAGACATGTGCTTCAACGCACATTTTGTTCTTTGTTAATAATGGTTTGCTTTACAAAAGGATGTTTTTATTGCAGCTTTGAACGAATAATTTGACTGACTAGGCAATAATAAATCGTGCCTTTTGTTTCAGGTTTCACTTTTTCATTATTTCAAAAATAGTGATAAAATATCGCAATAAATGTTAACATTATGAGGTTTTAATAGCAAAAACAAACAAAATATAAACTACCATAAATCTCTTACCAGTAAACCAATCCATCTGAACTTTTACCTAGAACTTGGTGCAGCCTTTGTACAAATTTTTACTAACATTTGTACTAATTTTTACTAAATTATATTAAGTGGTTCTTATTCTATAGGTGTTTTTATTGTGGCACTATAAAGTCAAATTTCACTTAATTTAAACATTCAAATTAATGAATTTTCAGCTAACAAAACTAAAAGGTTTCAAAATTAGCATCAAGGGGTACCTTGTTATGTACGCTATTGCCCAATATTAGCGTTCATTGGTCGGCAAGATTGGCATTATTTGGATCCGCGCTAAACGTGGATATATTTAAATAGTTTTTCAGATCCTTTTTCTTAAACTTTAAATTTCTTAAGATTATAATATAATGGTTTTTTAATTATAATTCAAGTCATATTTTAATAAAACTTTTTTTTTAAGTTTAGTTAAATAAAGTCAACATGTGAAAAAACTTATTACAAAGTCTAATAGCCATGCATTGTAACCAAAATAATATCAAATCTACTAAAAAAGAATACTATTGAATATTTTGATAGAATGAGTATACGATATTGAGTAAAAACAAAACTATAAGAAGTTATAGAGTTTTTGAAAGAAACTGAAACTTACCTCCATTAAATTTACATATAAAACCAAGAAGATCATCACAACTAGTATCGTACCAACCATTAAAATTTAGTGATACGCAGTTTTCTACTCCTAAATAATTATTAGGTTGATCCTTGCTCCAACTAAAGTATAACAAAGCTGTATGATCAGACCAAGCAAAGGTTCTTTGAAGATTATTCAGGCCTTAAAATGTATTGTAAAAAATGATTAAAATATTAGTCAAAACATAAAGTCAAAATATTAGTAAAGAACTATTATACCAATCCAGAAATGCAGTTCGTTCATACTGTTGTTTCTTAGGTGGTTTATAATAAATGAATTTTCAGCTTGACTTGTAACACTTAATAAATTTCCTCCCATTGTTTGACATACAGTAAAAGACATTTTCCAGTTTAATCCATTCTGTGTTGCACTTTCACTATGAAAAAGATAACAATAGCTCCCAAACTCAAAGAGGCTGTTTAAACAACCAAAACCTTCTAAAAAAATATCCATTTTATGCGTTTCAAAGTAATAAATTAAATTTTAAAAATTCAAAAAAAAAAAAAATTAAGATTATAAAATAATTGTTGCATCAACTGTTAACCATGTAATCAAGAAAAAACTACAAGTTTTCAGACGTTAGAAAAATATTTATTTTTCAAAATGGTAAACAGTTAATTTTAAATAATAGCTAAGCAAGAAATTAACAATGAAGCTTGTTAGGTATTATTTATATCAATTATGTTTTAACTTAATGTATAAATTATACACAGCTAGATCAATTCTATATATTTAGTAACTGTAGAATAAATAATATATATAAACTACGTTATTATAGCATTATTTTCATTATAAAGTCATTAAAAATTTTTGTTAGATCATTAGCATATAAGTACCTACATTTTCACTACATTGTTATTGCAAAGTCAGTAACTAAGTAATAATGAATGGGATCACGTAACAAGTAGATAATGTGAATAAAAATGTAGAAAGCTTCTGAAGTTCGAACTAAATTTTGAATTTGGAAGTATGGATTCATTGATGTATATATATATTTGTATGTATATATATATATATGTATATGTACACATATATATATATATATATATATATATATATATATATATATATATATATATATATATATATATATATATATATATATATATATATGTATATATATATATATATATATATATATACATACATGCATATATATATATATATACATTCATGTTTATATATGAGTGAAATACATTCATGTTTATATATGAGTGTATATGTTTATATATATATATATATATATATATATATATATATATATATATATATATACATATATATATATATATATACATATATATATATATATATATATATATATATATATATATATATATATATATATATATATATATATATATATATATATATATATATATATATATATATATATATATATATATATATATATATATATATATATATATATATATATATATATATATGTATATATATATTATTTTAAAACATCAAAAATACGATTTCTCTCAACACTTATAATTTTTTTGTTTATATAAAAATTTTCGCTGGATTTTAGATACCAGCTTCTTCAGCTTGTTAAATGTAAGATAATAAACTTCTTTAAGAATTTGATTAAATTCTAATAGAAGTTTATGGAAATTACTAAAATTTATAATGTATAAATTATAAACTATAAGAAAAATGTTTCCACTGCTGAAAGAAATAAGGCGATCTGGAGAAATAGTATTGCTCAATTTTATGAGTCACATTAGAGAAGGAGAACTGTTACATTAGAAGAACAGTCACTGGAAGCTAATTTGATTTTTTATTTAAATTAAGACTCTTCTAGGGAAAACTTTTGATCTTTTTTGTTTTGTTTATTGTGAAAGTTCGCGTTACGTAATTTATGAACGATCCCCTACTAATATTTTGTGTACTAACAACTTCAGCTTTCTGACAAGTTAAGATACGTTTAGCATATCTTAATTTGTCATTGTTTGAAACATATAGTTTGTATTTTGTGTTGAAACACATTAACGATTATAACATATTAGTAACTGTCTGTTTTGGATGTAAAGTGTAGTTTAATTTTTAAAATAATTTTTTTATGTGTTAAAACGCATTATACACGACATTATAAACCTTCGCATAACTATCATTAGTAAAAATGTTTTTAGCGCCCAGTGAAAAATGCTTAGGAAACTTTTTATTAATATTTTGTTTATCAGTTTTGATAAAAATACGTGCAAAAATGCATGAGCATTATATAAGTTTTATATAAAAAGTATTTCAGTAAACGAAAATAATATCTTCTCGCAAAAACTTATTTAAACAGAATTTGTTTTAAATTATATATATATATATATATATATATATATATATATATATATATATATATATATATATATATATTTATATATATATATATATATATATATATATATATATATATATATATGTATATATATATATATATATATATATATATATATATATATATATATATATATATGTATGCATGTATGCGTGCATGTATGTATTTATGTATGTCTATATGTATATATTCATCGGTGTATGTATTTAGGTATGTATGTATGTTTGTATGTATGGGTCATATAAATTCATCCAGACCATGACACCTTTGCGTCTCGTCAGAATTTGTTTATTTTAACCTTACTTACACTCCATATTACAAAAAATAACTATGAAAATTTTAGTTAAAACAACACAGGTTCCATAGATATTGTCAGTTGAAATAATGCTGACTCTGACTTGGGAATTATATAAGCGACTACAAAACAACTTTGACATATAGTATATTCATAATGGCTTGGGGAAAATTTCTAAAACTTCGTACCCCAATAAATATTTACTTGAAGAATCCAAATATAGCTCAAAACTTGATTTTCTCAGGTAATGCCTCCTTTATTCATTTTTGTTCAAACATGATAAATTTAACACTCTGTTTAAATGTATATCAATATTTTAACTGAGGTCTACTGAAAAAAATTTAACTATTTAATTGTCTCTCAAATTCACATTCAAATTCATGATCCAAATTTGCATTTTAAATTTGCATCTTTTTAGAAAAATTTTAGTTTTCTAACAAAAGCAATTGAAATGTAAAACATTTATTTGAAGAAAGCATCAAATAGTGTTTTTTATTGACTACTTTAGGACATTTATAGTCATGGTGCTGGGTAGGATCAGGAGATATTTTTTTTTTAATACAAAAAATGAATTAATGATAAATAATCATTTAAATTCAATTTTAAGACTTTTTTTTTTTTTAAACAACTTATTTTCATTATTTTAATTTAAATCATTGAATGCTTACCTCTTATTATATCAAAAAACAAGCAAAAGTTTTGTTTTGTTCCTTTTAAAGGTTGCATATTACTTGTTTGTGTTTTTTTAAAGAATGATTGCAATTTTTTTTTGTTTTTATATTTTTTTGGACGGGAATATTTAAAAAAAAAAAACATATTCAATATGGAGATTGGAAAAAGTCTTAACACTCACTGCCAAAAAACTAGATTTTCTAGAAAAAAATGGTTTGGTTCAATCAAATATTTTCCTTGTGAAAAAAAAGAAGAAATAATAGGCAAGCAAACTAAAAGGAAAAATATTTTGAGAGAAAAATTGCAAGGTGTTGCAATTTTTTTGGAACACATAAGGAAAGTAAAAAAAATTGCTATAAAAGATAATCAACATTCATTACAACAGAATTGTTATGGAATCTAAAAGAAAAAACAATTTATTATTTATAAAAATTTTTACGTTTTCAATTATTTTAAAAACATAACACAACTTTTTTCAATGTAATATAAAGATTTCTCGAGGCCAAATTTAGGTGCATAGTTAGATATATAGTGCATTATTTTTTTTTAATATATTTTAAATACAGACGCTGAGTGTTGCTAAAGCTACAAAGAACGGTCATCAGTAAAATGTAAATCTTTAAACATTTTATATCAAATTATAAAGGATATGTTTGATGTAGACGGTTAATCTTAAGAAAAAGAAAAGATGACTATATTTTAGGGAGATTCCCAAAATGCTGTATATGCCGTTATGGAAGCTAGAGAAACTAATGAAAAAGAATACATTATTGTTAGGGATTGCAATCCCGGGCATGAATTACGATCCCGGGACTTCGGAATTTTATATAATGTGAGTTATTTGCTAAAAAAAAAAACTTAATACTGCATATATGAATATACTTTTTGATGTTATCAATTCTTTATTTAATTTCATTATGTTTTAATGACTTACATTAATTTTCTACGGCGCCTTAAATTTTTTAAATTGTGTAACAGGCAGCAGGTGTATATAAAGATCTTAAAATAATGCAGAAATATATATACCGTACCTTCCATGTTAAGTTTTAAGATGACAGACTTTACAGAATAATCTTCATCAAATAATTGGATATGTAAATAACATTTGAACATTTAAAGTGTATTTGACTAAAGTAACTAAACAATCAAAATTTCAAAATAAATTTGTAAACATAAATTTTCTTAAATTTGGGTACCGATGTAGCTGCTGTAGCAACAAGCTACTTTGTAAAAAATAACATAATAAGTTGTTTGTTAATATTGAGAGACAAAAATTAAAGAAAATCTTTATTTTATATTTATAAATAAATGGTAGCTAAATAATAAATGTAAAACAAAAAAACAATTTATATTAAATGCATATTTTATTTACAAACTTTCTTTTTTTGTCTGAAAATATGCCTGGAGCAATAGTAGAGCATTAAAGATTTGGTCATTTAGCCTACTCCTTATTTTACTTCCCAAATACCAAGCTGCAGAAAATGCCCGCTCAGGTTCGATGCTCGTCGGTGGAATAGATAACAAATATTGGTATACTAATTCCAAATTATGCCCCCGGTTTCCACCTTTTTCAAACAAATGCATTTCGTTCTTTATGATTGACATTAAATTTGAAGTTTGTGTTTCTGGTTCCATGGCTTTCATGCTTTGTGCAATTTTTTCATGTAACTTTTCTCTTATAGACAGGGAGGCTCGAACTTGTGATTCTTCATTTCTAACGACAGCCATTACACTTTCATCAACATCAATACTTGATTTTTCTAAATTATTATTTTTAAAAGCAGCTATTCTCTCAATAAGTTTTTTTATCTGCTTCCTAATAAGGGTTTTAGGAGGAACCCCAAAAATTTTGCAGACATTTGTTTCATCATTCACAACATCATATTTTGGATTTTGAAGGTATTTTAAAACACCAGAAATTTCTTCACATCGTCTTTTTTCCATTCTTGTTTTTATAGCTTGGAACATTTTATTAGCAAAGGGAGATTGTTTTTGAGCAATCTGCTGGAATAAAAATATAAGTACTGCATCTGCAGTGCATAGATTAGCATCTCGTCTGCATAACGCATCTACTGCTATTTTGACAGGTGCAAGTACTTCTATTATTTCCAAAAGAACCACAAAATCACTTT